GCTTTAGCTGGGATCCCGAAGGTCACTCCTAATCCGAAGAAGCCTGCTGCAACATGGGCCAGCATGGGACTCGGGTGTAACATGGTAAACTACCCCTGACCTCCCGGGACAGCCTCTGATCTGAGCAAACCCGAACCCCCCTTGCCAGAAAGATCGGGGGCTGGTGGTCCCGCATCTGCACCCCGGGCAGCACACGGGTGCGTCTCTTCAGGGAGGCTGTCCCGACAACTGCGGGACAGGCTGGGAGCACATGGGGACACTGAAGTGCAACTGTGCTGAAGCGTTGCAGTGTGCCCGGCAGGTCTTACCTGTACAAAACTCCCCCCAGGTGCTGCGGGGGTCGAGACTAATCTCCCACTGAAGCACAGATTTGAGGTCAATGCAAAGGCAAGTCGAAGGAAGAGTCCTGAGCAAAAGAGAAGGGCACCCAAGCTAAGAAAAGTGATGGAAACATCACCAGAGTATGATGCTGTAAAGAACAGAGGCGCCTAAAAGCGGTTGTTAAAAACAAGGAAACCTCATAAAAGGTTTGGCTTTCAACTTTGAATTGTTGACTTGCAATTCACCTTCATGTGCTGTAAATTTGGCTTTAATTCAGATTCAGAAAGGGGAAATAATCATAAAGGCAACCCAAACATTCCTTTGAACTTGACCCAGCGGTGCAAAAAACACACACGGAGAGAAGTTACCTTTTAAAGAACTCCAAACACTCACAGACCCACACGCGATTAAACATGTTTTTTCTTTTTTAATTTAATTTGAAATAAGAGATAAGAAATAATAAATCTTCAATAAAATATATAAAATTGTACAAGGCATCCCTTTCAAAGGGACTTTCCTATAATGGAAGATTGAGGGTGAGGGGAAGGGAGAAGGGAAGTTCATCTATATAGTGTGTCCCAGGCGGCAACAGTGCCTGGGTCAAAACAAACCAAAACCAGCAAAACCTCGTGTCTTTTTTTAATTTTTCTGCTTTTTTTGTTCCTTTCTTTCTTTCTTCCACAACAACATGCTAAGAAAACAAATCCAGGAGAAGCTCTGCCTTCAGTGCTCCACAGCCCTTGGAGTAACTTTCTCACAAAGCTTAGCAAGAGTAATACACATAATACAATAGTTATAAGGAGAAGCCTGGGGAAGATACTGCCAGCGCTCGGGGAGCTCCCACGGGGACAGACAGGTTACACAGTCTCTTGGCACCCCACCGTCCCACTAGTAGGGTTGTTTGTTTGTGATACCTGGGTCTCTCTTAAGAAGGGCTTGGAGCATGAGTCACTCCTATTGGCATCCTTTGCCAGGGAAGGAGAGGAAGACTCGGGCTGGTGGGGGGAGCGGTTCTTCTATTTAATACAGACTGTTGCAAATACTATTAAAAAACCCCAAACATCTCCCAGAATTGTTCAACAATCCTTTGCTCACCACCACTGTGGAAACAACCTATGTCTTTTTTCCCCAGAAAGCTTCCTTCTCTCTCTCTCCTAGTTTTCAATGAGCAGAGCCAAGACTACCTGGCTGTAGCCAAAAATTTCTAAGCACGCCAACAGGAAGAGATAAAGACCAGACTGCCTAATAACCCTCCCTTGCACTTTACCTCCCCTCACAGTGCTTTACAAACACTGAAGCTATTTATACAGATAAAGGATTTACAGGAGCCAATGTTGGTAAAGCTGTTGCTCTACTTTTGCATTTAGGGGCCCTGATGCTCATCTTGTTGGAAACATCCGTCAATGTTTGGGATACAAAAAAATTTTCCCTACCCCCAGAAATGCAGGAACTTGCTGGCTCTGAACTTCACTCGGACTCTACTGGGTCTAGTTTCTATTTACACGGTGTCTCTAGCTAAAGGCTCTGCTTTCTTTAAAAAAAAAAAAAAAACAAAAACCCAAACAACAAAACCTTGATTATACCTTTTTATTTCCCTCCCCCCTGCCCCCATATTAAGTGATGACACTTGAGACTGTGGGTTAAGGGCATGCACCCCTCTTACTTTAAAGATGTGTTGGGCCCCATCAGAAGCTGTCAGGAAATCTCTGCCTCCGTAAGACGAGATTGCTTTTTCACCCATTCTTTTTTATTCTAATTTTACGTGCACTGTATAAAAACCCTACATTTGCTCAAATTTTTTTTTGTTTTTTTTGTTTGTTTTTACATATTTTTTTTTCTTTGAGGATCAGACTCAGAGCGCTCAGAGCACTCTCAGAAGACACCCAACCCGTAGCATACAGGGTGCCTTGCTTTGCTAACGCAAACTCCCATACACTCAGGATGGCAGATAGAAACGTGCAGAAAGAACGGTCAGTACTGGTTGGGGTACTGCCTTCTCAGGGTTGGACATGATCCACCAGGAAGTCTGTCTCACTGTTGCTTGTCTTTCTGATCTTCTTAGGATAAGTGGTACATGCTATATCCAACGGGAGTAGCATAGAGTCCAACAGGCGGGATAGGAAGCACAGGTCTGTGAAAAGGGTAGGATGTTCCGTACAGTGAGGCAGCCTGGATGGGAGAGTTGATGGGGAAAGGAAGGCTGAACCCTGATGGCAACATGGGCTTCGCTGCCATTTTGAGCTTCTCTAGCTCAGCCTCCTGCAGTCTCTTGGCCTTGGCCCTCCGATTCTGGAACCAGATTTTGACCTGGGTCTCTGTGAGATTGAGGGAGCTGGAGAACTCGGCTCTCTCGGCGATGGACAGATACTGCTTCTGGCGGAACTTGCGCTCCAGAGCCAGCAGCTGGGAAGTGGTGAACGGGGTTCGGGGCTTCCTATTCGTCTTGTGCTTCCTCAGGGTGCAGGCAGTGGGGCTCAGGTGTCCTGCAAGGAAGGGAAAGGCCAGTTATCACAAAAGCAGGGAGACCTGGGTGCTCTGGAGAGATGTCGCACTTGACAGAGCTGGGGTGGGAAGGGAGGGGTATGTGAAGGGAGTTTCCCACCAGGTGATACCCTCAAAATAGGGAATCCTTTTGCAAGTGGCTCTGGAAATCTTTTTCTGGCCAAACTTATGTTCACAGGACTTCAGCAGATGTCCTGGGAAGTGAAATTTTGCCTGGCTGATCTCGAAAGGACAGCTTGTAGGCAAACAGGGCACAAAGGATTCAGATACACACACAGATTTAGGAGTCACAGCACAGGGGTCTAGAGCACACGAAACAGCTGTCTGGGCAGCTGCAGAACTGGAGGAGTAACTCCAGCAAAGCACGGAACAAACACATACGCAAAAGCAGGAGATTCACAAAAGGACAGTGGTGCAAGAGACAAGCCCAGCCCAGCCCCTCTCCAGGATTTCTCCACCAAGAGCAACAAGTCAACCCTAGCTGAAGAAGTGGGTCTGATAACTTTTGTTGTTTACATAACTGGGCATTTTTCTTGCTATGTCTTCAAGAGAAAGTTTTCCCTCTGCTTCATAACTTTTCTTTTCAAGGAGTATTTTCTGTTTCTCAACAAGTATCAAAAAAAAGAAGAAAGCAGTGCACTTTTCATTCAACATTAAGCTTTTATGACATTTGCCAGTTAGAAAAGGTCCAAATAGCTACAGAATCTGTAGCCAATACAAGTCAGGATATCTACTACCTTTTGTGCTTGCCTTATAGCCCCAACCAGGTTCGGCACATGTGCCCAGGATGGTACCTCGCTGACTTGTCTTCAGATTCATTTTGTATTTCACTAATAATTTTGTAATCTAAAGAATGATTAAAAAGTGTGCAGCTGACTTCAAAAGCTTAGCAATTTGGCTATGTTTCGGATCACGCCCGGGGCATACGACAAGCCACCCTGGGTCCCCAGCTTGGTACAGAAAATGACACACAGGCTGCTAAGTTTTCGTGCGGCTGACTTCAAAAGCTTAGCAATTTGGCTGTGTTTCGGATCACGCCCGGGGCATATGACAAGCCACCCTGGGTCCCCAGCTTGATACAGAAAATGACACACAGGCTGCTAAGTTTTATACATGCTGTAGTGTCTGGTTCAAACGCTTGTTACTATTTGCACATCCTGTTTTCTGGACCCCTTTAACTTTCCTCTTTTATTTTTTACAATAAACCGGACCACGAAGCTGTTTAAGTGTATATCATGCAATTAAAAAATCCCACGAGGAAAGTGTTCAAAAGTTCAGAAAGCGGAGGGAGAAAACAGCTACAGCATAAAAAGTTAAACTTGACTTCTTACTCTTCTAGATATGAAAGAGAAAAACAAACACCTCTGAGAAAACAACTTGTCAAATACTGCCTTATGATCACACGAGAGCATTTTAATAATTAAGCTGCTCACCGTGACAGTTGGTTCATTCCTAAAACTACACTAAATTGAAACAACGCTAAATCGACCTTAAATTCACTACCGGTCACCCCGTCATTCCACTCTCTCTTTTTAAAGGCAACCTATTTCTTTTCTCGAAGCGAAGCTCTCCAAAGACTCTCCAGCTGAAAGGGGGCTTCTTCCAGCAGGGATGGGCTTACAAGGGCGACCGTCGCCCCGGGGATCGCTCGCCCCCGGCTTTCGGCTTGGCCCGACCCATCCCGACTTCTGCTACGCGCGGGGGAAACCGCAAAAACATGCTTTTAATTTAAACCCCGGACAAATATTTCTCTCGGAATACACCCAAGCGTTCACCGGCTTCTCCCCTCACCACCCCCCAAGTGGCTGATAACTCTGATAAGAAGCAGGGACCGTCGCCACCGCAGACCCTGTAATTGCCTTTATCCCGTGCCAGTCCTCAAACACTCGCTGCAGTGATTTGATTCGCTGTTTTTTTCCTGTTTATCCTCTGTTTTCTGGCCAACGTCAGACAAAAATAATCACTTAGAGACGGTTCCCGCTCCGTGTTGCTCAAAAAAAAAAAAATCTTTTACACCTCTTTCCCCAGTTCATCCCACTCGTAATATTAATAATAGTAAATCGAGGAGCTGCTTCTGATGTCAAAACCCTCCACCGACAGACGGGCTTCTGCGGGAGAACCGCTCACGGCCTCTGGCTGTCACACCGGCTCCAGAGCCGGGGAGGTGGGAAAACGGGACGGTGATCGAGGATCCTCCCTTCCGTGATCATTGTTTGCCCCAAATCCCGCTGAAGTCACAGGACCTGCGTCCCCGAGCTGCCAAAGTCCTTTACCGAGCGATTTGGCAGATCTCAAGAACCGCCGGTTTTAATGGAGAAAGAGGAGGAATTTCGAAAGGGGGAAAAAAAATGTACCCGGAGAAGATTAGGCCTTGTCCAAGTCTAGGGTTTAGGGCAGTTTTAGAGAAGGGGTTCCGGGTAGGAGCACTCGCTTCTTTTCACACTTTTCCAGCATATTTGAGGGTACATGGAAATCCCAAACGGGAGCTACGCAGGGAATGACACGGGCGGGCTGCTTTCCTCCCAGGCCCTCTCTGAGCGCGTTAAAAATCAAATTAATTCGGGGTTATCGCAAAGGAAAGGAAGCGGCTGAAAGCCAAATCGAAATGATTGTCAAAAAAAAAAAAAAAAGAAAAAAAAGAAAAAAGGAGCTGTAATAGCACTAAACTTCTATCTTGCAATATTAGATTACAGGAATAAGTTCTGCGAGACTGTCGGGCTCACCAGTTAGCGTCTCTAAAGTCATTAACTTAAATAAAGCAGAGCATTTAATTTACATCAGGCAAGTTAGGGATGCGCGGAGCAGAGCAGATCGATCTGCTAATACAGGTGTCCAACTGCCAAGGCTGTTGGCGATGGGAAGCAGAAAGCCCAGCACTGCCGGGCTACGTCCGTCACCTTTTCCTGAAGGTTAGTTTTGGAGCTTTTTATTTTTTATTTATTTTTTAAAAAGCAATAGAATTTTTTAAGGGATCTCACGAAAGTGAAATGCAAAATTCAGCGCAGACACAAGCAGCGCGGCTCGAAAGTGACCTGTCACCTCCGGATCGGCTGTCCCTAAGGCGGTGGGGACGGGGTCGGGAGCGATGGCAGGGGCTTAGAGAGGCCGGACCCGGCTCGGGGAGCTTCCACAGGCTGCACGCAAGGAGGGCGAGGGAAACAAACCGTGTCAGGAGAGACCGCTGCGGAAGCCAGCGCGCAGAAAGCGCGCAAGGCTGGAAGGGACAATTCCTGACTTTAAGGGATTGCTTTGCCACGTTTGGTGTAAGGGAGAAGGAAACGGGGAAATTCCAGTTCTTGTTGCAACGGGATAACATAAGAGGACGAACTGGCAGCCGGTGAACCGAGTGTCGGGAAAGGGAGCTAGTCCGTGGTAGCTCCTGATCTTTCTATGGTTTTAAAAACATCATATATTTTTATATATGATAATGCGTATTTAACTGCCTAAACGTAACATATATACGAACAAATATGTAACATAAATATACAAATCACAAACGGGTAGATATAAATAGATATATAAAAGACAACATATATAT